GAAAATCCTGGACCTCCTCCTCTCTGCCATGATTCCGGATGGTATCAGGGTAGAGCTAAACTCATCGCCTGCGAGGACCATAGCTCAGCCCAGCTCTATAGGTTGGCCGTTAGTAAAGTAGGTGAAGTTTGGCCGGGAGCCAAGCTCGAGGCCGTCAACAAGGAAGATATTCCTAGCAGACCGAGGGCTCGAGTTTGGATTCCGGCCAGACCCGCCGAGCCTGAAAGAATTGAGCGGATCTTCAGATCCTGTAATAAGGACCTGCCAAGTCATAATTGGAGGATAGGGAAGATAGAGGAGCCAGTAGAGAATATAAGGCAGGTGTTGCTGATCCTCAACGCCGAATCGCTAGCCCCACTGGCGCAAAAGGATTGGATGGTGAGATTCGGGTTTAATGACGCAACCATTCGAATCTACCGCAGCGACGAGCCGAGCTTGGACCTTAGTGAGGAGAGCGACAAGTCCGGCCTGCGCAGCGGTGGTGAAGAAGGGTTGCCCAGCAGCCAATGCTCATCTGACTCGGAGAGGCTATCCGGATTGGGGCCATTATTCTACGAAGAAGACCTCCTCGCCGATGACACCGAGGGTGAGGAGATCGAAGAGGCGGACGTGGATGTCACGATGGTGGAGGTAAAACGGACAGATTCTGATGAAGCTGATCCAGATCAACCTCCACCACTCTAAACTCGCGTCTGCGAACCTTGAGGTCCGCCTGGCTGCCGGTGGACTCGACGTTGCCCTCATCCAGGAACCGTGGATACACGGCAATAAAATCTGCAGACTTGGAATGAAGGGCTTTAAGCTTATTGCCGCACAAAATGCAGGTAAGACTCGAGCTTGCATATTAGCAAGGAACAACTTAAACATCTTCCTGCTCCCACAGCTTAGTGACGGCGATCTGGTAGTGGCAAGCATTGAGCTGGACAAAACCAGCTTTTGGGTAGCCTCTGCCTACATGGCCCATGACAAGTACGTGCCACCAGATGGGTTTCGGACCTTGGCCGAGGAAGCAGCCTTCAAGAACAAACCACTGGTTGCCTCCTGCGACGCTAATGCCCACAACTTGATGTGGGGGAGTACGGACACGAATGCTAGAGGTGAGTCGTTACTAGACTTCATTCTAGGGGACAAACTTAGTGTTTTGAATTTAGGCTCAGAGCCGACCTTCATAACAAAGAGTAGAGAGGAAGTTTTGGACATAACTCTGGCTTCAGACATGTTTGCCCATAAAATCAAGAGATGGAGAGTACTGAAGGAAAAATCGTATTCTGACCATCGTTATATTGAATTCGAAATAGATCTTAAGACCCCCCAAGTAAGGGAGTTCAGAAATGTTAGAAATACCGACTGGGGGGTTTACAATAATAAATTAAGGACTTTACTGCCAAAGATACCTCCCCGAGACCCCGCCACGCAGGTGGAGCTGGATGGGTTGGTTAATCAGGTTACTAAAGCCATGAACAGTTCTTTGTCAGCCGGGTGCCCGGTTGTTCGATACAGGGGAAAAAAGCAAACCACCTTGGTGGTCGAAACAATTATCCTTGTTACGTGAATCTAATAGGTCAATGTTCAACAAGGCCAAAGCCACGAGAGCAGCAGAGGACTGGGAAGCCTACAAGGCTGATCTGAAAATATACAAAAAAGCAGTTAGAACTGCGAAACGTAAATCCTGGCAAAGTTACTGCAAGGGAATTGAGGAAACCACGGAAGCGGCCAGATTAAGAAGAATTCTCGCAAAGTCGCCATGCAACCTTGGCTATCTCAAGGGTCAAGGGAACTCGTGGACTACGACGAGCGAGGAATCTTTAGGTCTCCTCCTGGACACACACTTCCCTGGAAACAAGCCGGTGGAACCTAATGGCCCCCAGAATGAAGGGGGGCTATCTGATCTGGGAAACCGACTGATTACAAACGAAAAAATTGAATGGGCTATTAAGACTTTTGGTCCTTACAAGTCACCGGGACTTGATGGAATACACCCGGTAGAGCTACAGCAATCACGGGGTACTATCTCTCCGTTCATTGTGGTTATTATACGAAGCTGTCTTAACATGGGCTACATCCCGCTAGGCTGGAGAGAGACAAAAGTCTCCTTTATACCCAAGGCGGGCAGGTCCTCTCATACCAACCCTAAGGACTTCAGACCCATCAGTCTTACGTCTTTCTTTCTCAAAATTTTAGAGAGGATAGTGGATGATTATGTACGGGGCGTGATACCAACAAGTAGGCTCTCCCCAGCGCAGCATGCCTATACGAAAGGCAAATCCACGGAAACCGCCTTGCACTCGCTCGTTGGGTTGGTGGAAAGAAGTTTATTCGACAAAGAGTACGCTCTGGTTGCCTTTGTAGACATAGAAGGCGCCTTCAACAATATTAACGCAAGCGCCATAACGGGTGCCTTAGAAGAGCTTGGAGTTGACCAGAATGTGGCGGTGCTGATCGAGTCTATACTTGTCAGCAGGACGATAACCGCTAAGCTCGGCAACACCACAATAAGCAGAAAGGTCTGTAGAGGCACTCCTCAGGGAGGGGTTCTCTCCCCTCTTCTCTGGAATCTGGCGGTGAACTCTCTGCTGGTGACACTAGAGAGGGGGGGGTTGCCATGTCACAGCATATGCTGACGATCTGGCAATTGCCGTCAAAGGCAAATACCCAAATACCCTAATGGAGATTCTGCGCTCTAACATGGCCACGCTTAGGAACTGGACAGAGAGTAGGGGACTCGGAGTAAACCCCGAGAAAACCGAAGCACTTCTCTTCACAAGGAAACACAGGCCTCCCATTGTCTCCCCGCTAATCTTTTTGGGTGTGGAGATATCCTTGAAGGAGAATGTTAAGTATCTAGGACTCATATTAGACAGGAAACTAACGTGGAAACCTAATATAGAGGAAAGAGTAAGGAAGGCCAACGTTGCATTATACACATGCAAAAAAGCGGTCGGAATCAAGTGGGGGTTAACACCTCGTATTACACACTGGCTATACACCTCGGTGGTCAGGCCAATACTCTTATATGGAATACTTGTATGGTGGCCAGCAACTCAAAAGGCAAGTTACCTAAAACTATTGAGAACAGCGTTTCTATGCATTTCGGGTGCCTTAAGGACCACCCCAAATAAGGCGCTGGAGGTGATTACCAATTTACCCGCAATAAACCTGGTGAGAAAATACGCGGCCGCCGATTCAGCGCTCAAACTAAGAAGTATGGTGCTATGGAAGGATCGGCGGTTTGGTCACGCTTCCATACTTCACACTCTGGGTAGTTACAACCAAGAAGTTGACTACTCCGCTCCCAAACCAATCTTCAATAGGCTCTTTAAGACGAGCATCCCGTCAAGAGGAGAATGGCAAACGCCAAGACCATGGAGACGGGGGAATTGAATTTTTACACAGATGGATCCAAGCTAGACAATAGGGTTGGCTACGGAGTTTTCTCTAAGGAACTAGGACTGGAACTATCCGTCCGAATTCCGGACCACTGCAGTGTCTATCAGGCAGAAGTTTTAGCTATAAAAGAGGTGGCTGTGTACCTTAGTACACATGCCGTAACGAAGACTACGATTAATATTTTCTCGGATAGCCAGGCGGCCATTAAATCAATAAACATGGTAATGCTGAGGTCGAAGGTTGCGCAGGAATGCCTCGCAGCTCTAAACGATATTAGCACCGTGTTCAAGGTCAGCCTCATATGGGTCCCGGGATACAGAGATATTGAAGGAAACTGCAGGGCTGATGAGCTAGCCAGGAAAGGGACGAATCTACCCCTATGTGAAAACAGGGGCACTATTGGGATACCCATGGCAACCTGCAAATTAGAACTTCGAAATAGCATGATCCAAGAGGCCAACAGGTCATGGCTAGAGGAGGGCACATGTAGAACAACCAGGCTGCTTTGGCCGCAAATAGAAAAGAAAAAGACGAAAGAGTTGCTGTGCCTCTCAAGAGAGGACATTGCGAAGGTCACGGCTTGTGTAACCGGTCACTGGCTATTTGGCAGGCACTCTTCAAGACTAGGAATTTTCTCCCACGAATATTGCAGAAGTTGCAGAGATGAGGAAGAGGAAGAAACCGTAGACCACTTCTTCTGCAGCTGCCCAGCTTTGGCCAAGAGGAGAGCAAGCTTTTTAGGCAGGCCCTTCTTTAGCTCTCTTACGGAACTATCACGCGTAGGAATAAAACCGATTCTACGCTTTATAAGAGCCTCAAATTGGTTCTCTGAAGAATAGTCACCGAGGTTCCCGTGTTCTGCAGTGGTACCACAATGGACCTTCAAAAGGTCTAAGTGAGTTGGTAAATTGAACCGACTGCCACATCAACCTAACCTAACCTAACCTAACGTATAAAGAAAATATTCAATTCAAATACGCCCGTATTAAAATTAAGCATTTCTCACTGCACGGATGACGTTTTGAACATCTCGGATGCTTTTTCATATGTAATTAAGAAAGTAT